TCTTCAGTGGGGAAAGCCTGAATCTCCATCAGGGACACAGGGTTCTCTTCTGCAGACCAAGGAGCAAATTCTCCTACTGCCAAGGACAAGACTCTGAAGCCAGCTTCAAGGAACATTCTTCTTGTGAGGCCTTAACTTCTAGATATTTCTAGAGATAACTCTTAGATATTCCTAGAGATAACTCCTAGAAAGATATTTCTTGCCTAGCTTCTGCTGCAAGAATGCAGGGGTAGGAGAAGAGATTTAGCATGCCGAAAAAGATGCTCTAAAACACAATATATCTGCCTGAGATAGAAAGTTCAAAGAAACCACACAAATTTTCCTTTCTATTGGTTTATTCAAATAGTTCCTAACAGAGATAAGTACCAGATATAGGGCAACAGTTCACATTTAAGATTCCTATGACAGGCACAGTGGCACATGCCTATAGTCCCAGCAAGGCAGGAGGATTGATTGAGCCCAGGAGTTTGAGGCTACAGTGCATCATGATTATGCCTATGAATAGCCTGTACTCCAGCCTGGGCAACACAGTGAGACCCCATCTTTGAAAAAAAAAAAAAAAGATTCCTATGAATTTTTGTGTGTGTGTGTACCCATATATAGTATTATATTTATCTTATCTAGCAGCAATATTTTAGCAAGTTTCTTATATGTTAAAAAGATGTCAGTGAACAGAACTCCTACATTACTGATAAGAGTATAAATTGGAATATCTTACCTTAAGGGCAATTTGGCAATATTTACCTAGATTATAAATGTATATCTCTTTTGACCCATCAATTCTAAGTATTTAAGCAGATATATTTGTGCATGTGAAAAATTATGCACATGCAGGGTTATTACTGAAGTACCGCAATAGGAAAAGAATGAAAATAATCTAAACGGTCATAAAAAAAATGGGTATAATATACTACGATATGAGCATACAATGGAACACTACACAGCCTTAACAAGGAATGAGGACACTCTTTATATCCAGTTATGCAATGATTTCAAGGTACAATAACAGATGAATTAAGCAATGAACAAATAATAATGATAGAAAGTATAAAAATAATGTATGAAGTATTCTTGCCAAAAATTAACTTGAACTGATCAAGCTTCCAGATCTAATTACCATTTTCAAGAAACACAAGCTTTTTTTTTTTTGAGACAAGTCTCACTCTGTCGTCTGGCTAGAGTGCCGTGGCATCAGCCTAGCTCACAGCAACCTCAAACTCCTGAGCTTAAGCAATCCTTCTACCTCAGCCTCCCAAGTAGCTGGGACTACAGACATGCACCACCATGCCGGGTAATTTTATATATAATATTTTTAGTTGTCCAGCTAAATTATTTCTACTTTTTAGTAGAGACGAGGTCTCACTCTTGCTCAGGCTGGTCTCGAACTCCTGAGCTCAAATGATCCACCTGCCTCAGCCTCCCAGGTGCTAGGATTACAGGCGTGAGCCACTAAGCCTGGCAAAACACAAGGTTTAAGCAACATCATGGGAAGACGATCAACAAAATCTAGAGTGTGGGAAACTCCACAGTATAAACACCAGCTTCTCCACAAATAAATGCAAAGGAAACAAACAAAAAGTAAATTCAGACAAGAGGAAGAACCTACAGGTTAAATTCAACTTAAAAGACATATTAGCCCATTGTTAAGAAGGTATAAATGACAATATATCCAAATTAATCTACAGATCCAAATCCCTATATCAAATCTTAGATATCTTTTTGCAGAAACTTACAAGCTGGTCCCAAAATTCATATGGAAATGCAAAGGACTCCAAATAGCTACAACAATCTTGAAAAAGAAGAACACAGTTGGAAGACTCGTACTTCCCAATTTCAAAATTTACACAAAGCTATAGTGATTAAGACTACAACGGTAATGGCATAAGGAGATATATATGTATCCCAACAGAAGAGAAAAGAGATTATTTGTGGTCAACTGATTTTCAACAAGGATGCTATGAGGATTCAGTGGAGGAAAGAAGAGTCTTTTCAATGAAGAGTACTGGAACAACTGTATATCCACAGAGAATTAAACTGGATCCCTACTTCATGCCATATATAAAAATTAACTCAAAATGGATCAGATTGAAATGTGAGAGTTAAAACTATACAACACTTTGAAGAAAACTTAGGTATAAACCTTCATGCCCATGGATTAGGCAAAAGTTTTTAGATAGGTCACCTAAAGCACAAGCAACCAAAGAAAAACTAGACAAACTGGATCTCATCAAAATTAAAACCTTTTGTACTCCAAAGGACATTGTCAGGAAAAGGAAAAATAACCTATAGAAGGTGAGGAAATATGTGCAAAGTATACATCTGATAAGTGTCTAGTATCCAGAATACAAAAAGAAATCTTACAAACTCAATAAAAAAATAACTCAATTTAAAAATAGGCTAAGGATTTGAATAATATTTCTCCAAAGAAGATATACAAATGGCCAATAAGTACATGATGTTCAATACCATTAGTCATTAGGGAAATCTGAATCAAAACCACAATGAGATACCATTTCACACCCACAAGAATGGATATAATAAAAAGACAATAACAAGCATTGCAAGGTATGAAAAAATTGGAACTCATACACTCAAATGTAAAAATGGTACAGCTTTTGGAAAATAGTTTAGCAGTTCCTCAAAAAGTTAAACATAGAGTGACCATATGACCCAGCAATTCCACTCCTAGATATATACCCAAGTTGTTTATCCAAAACTTGTGCATGATTTATATTAACCAAACAGTAAAAACAACCAAATGTCCACGAACTGATGAATGGGCAAACAAAATGTGGTATATCTTACAATGGATAATATTTCACCATTAATACAAAGTACCATTACATGTTACAACATGTATGAACCTTGAAAGCATTAAAAAAAAAAAAAAAAAAAACAAACAGGCTACAAATTGCATGATTCCAATGACATGAAATCATCCAAAAGGCAAATCCATAGGGACAGAAAGTATATTACTGGTCGCCAGTGGCCGTGGGGGAAGATGGAACAGGGTTTCTTTGGGTGTTGAAAATATTTTGGAATTAGACAGTCATGATGGTTGTAGAGCCTTCTGAACAGACTAAAAACCACTAATTTGTACCTTTTAAACATGAATTTTATGGTATGAGAACTATATCTCAATAATTTTTTAAAAAAGCCATATTAGCCAAATACAATGTCTGGTCGTCCTTGCTTGTATCCTGATTTTTAAAAAAAAAATTGTCAAGAAAAAATTTTTGAGACAATTGGGGAGATGAACTCTAACCTAATATTTGAAATATTTGGCAATTATTAAGAGTATTATAGATTTGATAATAGTATCGTACTGTTAAACAAAGCAAAAAAAGAACCTTTATTTTTTAGAGACATATATTGAAGAATTATGAATGAAATGATATGATTATTTGGAATTATCTCAAAGTTGGGGAGGTATAAATGAAATAAGATTGGCTATGTGTTAAAAATTGTTGAAGCTAGGTGATAGGGCTTCATTATACTATTATCCCAACTTTTGAATATGTTTTAAATAATCTGCATTAAAGCACTTAAAATATATTGTAATGTACATATATCTACATAAGCAGAATAGCTCTGGAAGGATACATAAGAAATGTATAATGCTATTTCCCTCTAAGGAGCATTGGATGGAAGCAGATACAGTTGGAAGGGAGTCTCTTCACTGAATGTCCCTTTTAAAAGTAAGTTCTAGAGCAAAAGGTTAATAGCAACAGCTCACCATCACTGGTGCTCAGTAGATATATATTAAAAAGCATCCATTATTTTTTTGAGAGAGAAATAAATGTAAGCTCTGTTGACCCATAGACTTTATTTAGTTCAGAGTATTAATCCCACAGCGAGCTGGGGGGTAGAACTAAAAACAGACTCTAGAATTTCTCATAGCTAATCCAGCCCCCAGGAACATTCAACTTCACTTATAACCTCTTGCCCCTTAATACAGAGGCAGATTTGAACACACAAAGGTAAAAACCAAAGAAACTGTACTCCTAGAGACTGTGTTAAGCTTCTAGGCTCAATCCAATCCAGCAATCAGTAGGAGCGAACATTTTACCTCCCACCAGTAGCAAGCCAGCTAAAATCAAGAACCTTGACAATTGAGGGAGATAGGAAAAAAAAAAACCTTCGTGAGAAGTGATATGACCAAGGCATCCCTGGGAGAGCACAATTGTCATTTATCAGCTCCACTGGTTTTGAAACCGCCCTTCAATAATGGGGTACAAGTTGAGAACTATGGTAAAGGCTTAGCTAAAAATAATGATAGTAATTAGTCGCTTTTCCCCGTTTGCTTCTCTATATATTAATTGCCACTCCGGAGCCATGTAGGTAGTGGTCATATAGATTCTTAACTTCTCCCCATAGCTGGTGTCCATAAAGATTCTTAACTTTCTCCATAGATAACATCACCTTTTTGAAAGCTAATGGTAGTTTTTAAAGTATCTTCCAGGCCCTGCATTCCAGAGAATTGACTAACCCACGCAGACTAGCGGCCCACACCAAGAAACCGACTCAAGTGGAATTGTGAACCCAGGGACTGAAACAACACAAGATGATTCCCATACCTCTGTAATTTTGCCCCAGTTAACAGACCTAATTGCCTAATACCCTGCCTGCCAAACTACCCTTGAAAACTCTGTCTCCCAAATTCTTGGGGAGGCGGATTTGAGAAATTTCTCCCATCTCCCCGCTTAGTGCTAATCGAAATAAAGACTCTTTCTGTCGTGAAACCTGCTGACACAGCATACTGGTGGCTTCTTAGGCAAGGCAGTGGGCATTGAACCTGGGTGGGCAGCAACAGTTTCTAACATATTACTTTTGTAAGGCAACTGACAAAATCTTGGATATAAATCCTGCTGAGTATAAAATGGTCTGTAAATTAAGTCTAGGCAGGCTTACTTGAAGCCAGATAAATGCATTCGTCGGCAGATGCAATGCATTCCAGCCCTTTGCTGTATTATAAGAGAGAAATGAAGGCTGCCACCAACCTTGATTCTTGTCATCTGGGTCAGGGTCCGGTTTCAGTCTTTTCACACTGTTGCCACTCTCTGAGCTGAAACAAAAAACACATTGATCTGAGCTACAGCCAATCTTGGGGATCAAAGCTTAAGGAATCAGGATCTCTAATAACTATATACGTGAGTCTGAGGCAGCCTCAAGGAGCTGATATAAAATGAAAAGTCTTCATTTCTTGTTCTTAATTTCCTTCAAATTATATTGGTTATAAAGACAAACTACTAACAAATCCAAGGAGTGAACATTGTGTCCTCAAGCATCACTTAAACTTGTTTGTCCTTATCATTCAACTTGGTTAGAACCACAGATGGATTTCAAGAATATCTGGACATGCTCACAATGACAAAATTTTAGTTAAGTTATTAAAGACTGAAGAAAACATCTTCAGTGACATGCCAGAGATAATGAGAGTCACCCAAAAGACTTTCACTAAAAGAAGATCTAAAAAATGTATTTTAATAAAAAAAAAGGAAATTATCCCAGATGGAAAGGATGGTGAACAAAGAACCTGATACTAATATGAAATATAAACATAAACAAATATTGTCTGTATAAAAAATAGTATCTACTTTGTAGTGTTAAACATGAACATACTAAAGTCCTGAACAATAGTAGCACATAAAGAAGGAAGAGGGCAATTGTAGCTAAAGGTTCTAAGGTCCATGTATTAATTGTGTAGGATGGCAACACAGGTATTTACTTTGGGTTTTGCTAAGTATGCCTGGTAAATTTCAAGGTTAGCTACTAAAAGAATAGAAATGGAGCATATAAATCCAAAGTAGTATAAAGAAAAAAAAATGAATAAAAGATATTTAAATCTCAATCTTTTTAAAAAATATATAAGGAAAAATATTTTTACAAATAAAAAGACAAATAACATTAAGATTGCAGAAGTATCAAAAATCTTAATATTATAAATAGACCAAAACTACTAGTAAAAAGAGATTAACAGACTAAATTTAAAAGCAGCTATTTCTAAGAGACACATCTAAAAACTTAACAAAAGAAATACAAAAATAATAACCAGAAAGATTCAGAGTAAAAGAATGGAAAAAGAGTTACTAAGGTAAATAATCTAAACAAGGCTGTGGTACCTATATTATTATTTGGAAAACAGGCTGGGTGCAGTGGCTCATGCCTATAATTCCAGCACTTTGGGCAGCAGAGGCCAGAGAATCACTTGATGCCAGGAGTTGAAGACCAGCCTGGGCAGCGAGACCCTGTCTCTATAAAAAAAAAAACTTTTTAAAAAATAAGCTGGGCATGGTTGCATGCACCTACAGTCCCAGCTACTGGGAAGGCTGAAGCAGGATCACTTGAGCCCAGCAGTTTGAGGCTGCACAGTGAGCTATGATCACGCCACTGCACTCCAGCTTAGGCAACCAAGCAAGACTCTGTCTTTTAAAAAAAAAAAAAAGAAGGTTGGGCATGGTGGCTCACACCTGTAATCCTCGCACTCTCGGAGGCTGAGGCGGGTGGATTGCTCGAGGTCAGGAGTTCAAAACCAGCCTGAGCAAGAGCAAGACCCCATCTCTACTACAAATAGGAAGAAATTAATGGGCCAACTAATATATATAGAAAAAATTAGCAGGGCATGGTGGTGCATGCCTGTAGTCCCAGCTACTGGGGAGGCTGAGGCAGCAGGAGTCTGAGGTTGCTGTGAGCTAGGCTGACGCCACGGCACTCACTCTAGCCTGGGCAACAAAGCGAGACTCTGTCTCAAAAAAAAAGGAAAATAACAAAAGATAAATATATTTCATATACCCTAAAACACCCTGAGTATAAGGTGGTAAAATGAAGCACGGGGGAAAAAAGGTTTATCTTAGAACCAATGAAATGTAGTTACCGCAATATGGAGATTTAAAAAATATACTTCTAAATAATTCCTGAGTCAAATAAGAAATCATAATGGATATTTAAGAATACTTAGAAGGAAATAGGGGGGAGGAAAAAAAGGGAAGGAAACACAAAGCTTATATACACTGAAAACTGAGGAAAATTTATAGCTTTAGATACCTATAACTGAAAAGGCTGAAACTTAATGAGCTAGATATCTGTCAGTTGTTTATAACAATAAATAAAAAAAAAACCTAGAAGAAAACAAAGACTATTCCTTTAAAGAAGAAACAGGTGCTTGCTTTGTTTTTATGCTGCATAACATAACACACACCAGTGGTGTCTACTTTCACCAGGTTTCAGAATCATCCATAGAACTTTAAAAATTGTGACTCCCAGAACTCACTCCGAATTTCCTGAACCAGAATTAGCGTAAGGCCTGGAAATACATTTTATTAACAAACTCCCAGGTAATTCTAATAAACCCAGGGCCAGAGGGATTGGGAACTCCTGCCTCAGGAAACTAATTCATCACCTTGCTACACAAATCAATATTAAATGATATAGTTTCAAAACCCAAAAGGGCTTATTCACAAGTCACCAAACGAGCTAACACAAAGCCCATTCTAAAGGTGATCTAAGGATTAAAGGTCATAGTTCCAACACCCTTACTGCCAGCAGCAAGACCACTCCCAAGAGGTAACTAATTGCCCACCTGGAGAGCCTTCTTCCGCACAGTCCAGTAAAACTGACCCAGGTTCAAATCCTGAAAGACACTGGGCCTCGCAGGAAAGCTTATGAGAACTTGAAAAGAATAATTCATAGCTTGGATAACAAGCCCTTTGCAAGTCACTGACATTCCTCCCTTCTGCTGCTGTACCATGATGACATTTTTACACGTAGGCAATGTTCCCAGGAACATCTGCAGCACATGGATGGTGTGCCAAACCACAAGACTGCATCAAAACACTCCCTTCAAAACATATGGCCGGTTGCCAATTTACTCCATTGATTTTCCTAATAGACTGCACTTAAACTTAACATCGTTTTGCCCATCGATTAGTTGGTCAAATCGAAATGACCAGATTCAATCACTCTGGTGCCATTTCAGGATTGGAAAGGGAGAAGCAAACACAAAGGACTCATCAAAACCTCTAGGTAGCGCTACCACTCCTACATCCATCAAACACAGCCACAGCCAGGTCTGTAACCCCTCACAGCTGCCTTGTTCTTTCAGGCCACAATGCCTTTGCAGCAACTATCCCATCCCCCCCACCCACCCCCCTGCCCCCAGGCTGTTGTTGTCACCCTTGTCTCTACTGTCAAAACCCTAGTTGTCTTACCTGATCAACTGATGTCATCCCTGACTTCCCCAACATGAGCACACACACCCTCCCCACCAGGCAGCTATGTTCTTCCTCCTCGCTCTCACTGCACCAACACCAATCCTTTCACAGGACCTGCTACCTACCTTGCCTAGAAACACAGACGCCCGAATATGGAACTCTAGCTCTCATGTTACTACGTGACCTTGAACAAACAAGGTTCTCAACCTCAAATTCTCAGTCTTCTCATCTGTAAAACAGGGATTACAATAATCTGTACTTTCATAGGCACCTTCTCAAGCACCCGAGGAATAAATAAGATCATGCACAGGAAGCACTTAACACAATGTCTGGCACACGGCAGGTGCCCAATAAGGAGTAGCTATTATGTCTGTGGAATGAATGATCAGAGAGACAGGGCCGAAGGCTAGAGAAAACACCAAATCTGGAAGGGGAGACAAGAGCTGAGCACACCAAAGGATCTTCACCAAGACTTATGCTAGGTAACCTTTTGCTCTGGCTACCATTACAAGTGACATTTCAGAGTACATGGCCAGAGGGAAATCTAAGCTGTGTGAGTGTTGGCTGACCTCTTATGCTTAACGGCTCCTGCCAACAGCTTTGCCTGGGAGAACTTGTTCTTGCTTTCTAGAGGCTTCACAGCCACTTTCTTCTCCACTTCCTTCTTGTTTTCTGAAGAAATTCCAACCTTCTTGAGATTATTGTGAGTTACACGTTAAGGATCAAACCAAGTAAAAGGAAGAGCTATCACAGGGCAATGGTAACTTGAGAGAAGGACAACAGATACAACCCACTAGCCCTTGACCTGTGCCATGTAATGTCTGGCCTACTTACAAAAAAAAAAAAAAAAAATGCCCCTCTTCTCTATTCCACCAGTTAAATCCACCTGATTTAAAGAGAAATGAAGGTGATCACAGAGGAAGACAGCACATCAAGCCCAAAATAATACAGAAAAGCCAACTTTTCTTTGGATTTTTAGTGAAAATCTGAGCACAGCCAGAAAACTAGCTATTACCAAAGACATTGCCAATATCATGCTTGATGGAGAAAAGAAAGATCTTAAGGAATATAAAGGAATCAGAAAAAAATGTGGCTTCTCTGAAAATATGTACTTTTCCTCCACTCCAAAGGTAAAAGGAAATTTTGGAGAACGTCCTTATGATTATCAGTGGTATTCAATCTTAGACATCATGAAGACTAAATCCTGCTGTACCGGGTAGGACAAGGGAACATCAGAATCACCCAATCCTCATTAAAAATGTCAAGTCCCAGCCAGGCATGGTGGCTCACGAATATAATCCTAGCACTCTGGGAGGCTGAGGTGGGAGGATCGCTCAAGGTCAGGAGTTTGAGACCACCCTGAGAAAGACCCCATCTCTACTAAAAATAGAAATTAACTGGCCAAAAAAAATATATAGAAAAAAATTAACTGGGCATAGTGGTACATGCCTGTAGTCCCAGCTCCTTGGGAGGCTGAGGCAGAAAGATTGCTTGAGCCCAGGAGTCTGAGTTTGCTGTGAGTTAGGCTGATGCCATGGCACTCTAGCCTCGGCAACAGAGTGAAACTCTGTCTCAAGAAATAATAAAAAAAAAAAGTCAAGTCCCTCCCCTGCCCCAAATCTACTAAATGTGGCTCTTTAGAAGCCCAAGAGTCTGTTTTAAACACTCTCTCGACCAGGCATAGTGGCTCACTCCTATAATCTCACCACTTTGGGAGGCTAAAGCCAGCCTGGGCAATATAGCAAGACTCCGTCTCTATAATAAAGACAATTAGCCATTCATGGTAGCACATGTCTGTAGTCCCAGCTACTTGGGACGCTGAGGCAGGAGGATCGCTGTAGCCCAGGAGTTTGAGGCACAGTGAGCTATGATCATACCACTACATTCCAGCCTGAGCAACACAGCAAGACTCTGTCTCTAAAAAATAAATTAATTAATTAAACACTCTCTCAAGGTTATTTTATTGAGAAACCCTGTGCAAATATAACACAAGAAATAAAAGGCTGTTTTAAAAAGCATAACCAGGCCGGGCGCAGTGGCTCACACCTGTAATCCTAGCACTCTGGGAGGCCGAGGCAGGCGGATTGCTTGAGCTCAGGAGTTCGAAACCAGCCTGAGTAAGAGCGAGACCCCGTCTCTACTACAAATAAAAAGAAATTAATTGGCCAACTAATATATATATATATATATATATAAATGAGCCAGGCATGGTGGCTGCATGCCTGTAGTCCCAGCTACTTGGGAGGCTAAGGCAGAAGGATTGCTTGAGCCCAGGAGTTTGGGGTTGCTGTGAGCTAGGCTGACGCCACGGCACTCACTCTAGCCTGGGCAACAAAGTGAGACTCTGTCTCAAAAAAATAAATAAATAAAAAGCATAACCAGTTCCCTTGTAACATCACTTTTACATGTTAGATGCCAACTTCTGGCTCTCAAGGTCTGTCACATTCGCTTGTCATTTCCACCAGCCCCCACCTATTCCTCCGTTTTATGCTCTAACAACTTATTAAACAGAAGTTTTCTGCCACGTTGCAAGTGCTTATTTAAGATGCAGGAGTGCCTTACTGGAACAACAGTGACATCTAGTGCCCAAGAAATCTAAGAAGCATGTATTACCAGCCCAGGAGGTAGGGCATATATTGTCTAGGCTGTTTGTCTGTATCTTTGAACAATGGAGAAAACTGGGTATCAGAAATAAGAAAATTCTAATGCTAACTACTCTGCAGGTACTCTGTCTTAAGAAAAAAAAGAAAAGAAAAGAAAAACAACAGATCTTGCTCTTTTGCCTGGCCTAGAGTGACATGGTAACAGCCTAGCTCACAGCAACCTCAAACTCCTGGGCTCAATCAATCCTACTGCCTCAGCCTCCTGAGTAGCTGGGACTATAGGCATGTGCCACCATGCCCAGCTAATTTTTTCTATATATTTTTCTTTATTTTTTTTTTCTTGTCATCCAACTTGGAATTATTTCTATATATTTTTAGTTGGCCAATTAATTTCTTTCTATTTTTACTAGAGATGGGGTCTCACTCTTGCTCAGGCTGGTCTCGAACTTCTAACCTCAAGCAATCCTCCCCACTAGGACTCCCAGAATGCTGCGATTACAGGTGTGAACCACCACACCTAGCCTAACTCTGTCTCTATGGACACCAGCTACCTTAAAAATTTGCAGTATTCAATGTGGATTATGTATAATGCCCAGTACCATTCTGAGTTTCACCAATTTATTGTTTTTAAGGAAATCATGGAAACAGAAAACATTTTAATACTAATTTAATTGACTGGGCGAGGTGGTTCACGCCTGTAATCCTAGCACTCTTGGGGAGCGAGGCGGGTGGATTGTTTGAGCTCAGTTCGAGACTAGCCTGAGCAAGAGCAAGACCCTGTCTCTACTAAAAATAGAAAGAAATTGGCCAGACAACTAAAAATATATATAGAAAAAATGAGCCGGGCATGGTGGTGCATGCCTGTAGTCCCAGCTACTCGGGAGGCTAAAGCAGGAGGATTGCTTGAGCCCAGGAGTTTGAGGTTGCTGTGACCTAGGCTGATGCCAAGGCACTTTAGCCCTGGCAACACAGTGAGACTCTGTCTCAAAAAAAAAAAAAAAAAAAATAATTGTTCATTTTCATAAAAAAAAAAAATAAAAGAGATTTCATCTACCTAGTAGAGAATGCCAAAAACCATTAGCATGTTGTGATTTTTACCTATAACTCTATCAATTCTCAAATAAAATTTTCAATATGAAATTTTAAAAGATGAAACAAAAATGGAAAAAAAACAAACAACAAAAGCACACATGTATTTATAATACCAGGTCACAGACAAAGCCCAACATTTTACTTTTTATTCTTTCAAAGTGAAGAAAACCCCCAACGGTTTTTGGCAGGAGGTAAGAACGGAGGTGGTGGTAATAATCTTATTTTTGATCTATATCCAAAGCCTAAGTGATTTTTTTGCCACTTAAGCCCCTCCCTGAAAATGCTTTGAAAATGTTTGTATTTGAAAATACAAACACACCTTAAAAATCTCAAGGAATTCATTAGATGAGGCATTTAAGAAAAAAAAATCTCAAAGTTTTAAAAAGACAAAATATTGCTAAATACTGGTTTAACGCCAGAGGAAAGAACAAGAGTTCTGTTGTTCACATGGGACAAACCACAGCTTATTTGTATTCAGAAGTATCACATTATAAAATGTATCATATAATCAAGCAAAGCCAAGAACTAGCTTCTGATTTACAGCTTCAATAAACAAATGTCTAATCTTTCAATTCTTATCTCAACATGTTGCTGGCTACTTGCGCATTTGGGATTAGTGCATTTTATAAGTCAGTAAGCTGGAAGGCCTGCTTTTCTTCAGTATTTCTAAACAGAACTTTCCAAGTTCCCAATTAAAGCCAATATCCCTGGAGCCTCTTCAATGTTGTACTGCAATGTTATCAGGCCAGAAAGGTTTCTTTTCCTTGCTACTGCCCTGTTCATTCTTTCCCTTTAATTTAAAACCAAAGGGCATCTCACACTCGCAGCACCACTAGGCAGAATGCTGATTTCCGAGACATTGTATGCCTTACTTGCTAGTCTCATAACATAAAACAAGACATAATTCAAGCCAGTAAGTGTAACCAATGTATTTCCTTAGAGGAAAAAGCTGTGTGTCATTTCATTTCATTGAAAACAATGAAATACATGTATCTGCCCATTTCTACAAACACATAATATTCGGGGGTCATCAGGGTGGGGGAAGGGGGAATTCAGAAGAATCAGTCTCAGTCCTACAGTCGAGATTGAGGTGTAACTTCCCATTAACTCCTATCTTCATGTTGCACCTGAATGCCACTAACAGAATTGGGACTCGAAGCTACCAGTTCAGATCTAAACCAAACCTCAGGGAATCTGTCTACATTTTCTCCCACATAACTCTTTAATGGAACCTACTCCACACTCGCTACAAGAAAATACCAACTAACACATCACCAACCTTAGAGGTGAAGCCTGTTCAATCACACTAGTGAGGTTACTCAACATAAATGTTTGAAAACATCCAAATAAGCTTCCTCATGGGAGGAAACAAGTTAAAGTGGCCTTATTAACATCTCCTATGAATTGTTCATTAATTTATTCACATATTTACTGAGAACCTACCATATGCCAGGAACTAAGAAAATCAGAGGTGACCAAGTCGGATAGTTTGTTCTTATGGAGCTTACTTTACATTCCAGCAATAAGGAGATAATCAAACCAGTAAGAAAATAAACAACGGTGACTTTCAGATAGTGACAAATGCTATTTAAAAATGGTATCACAGACAGCGATGGTGTGGGTACAATTTTAGATGGGTGGCTTAGGGAAGCCCTCTACAAGGGAGAGCTGAGATGAGACCTGAGCCATGAAATGCCAACCCTGTAAAATTTGAGGGTAGAACATTTCAGGCTGAGGAAACAGCAAGCCTGAGGCCTGGAGATGGATTCACAAAGCTTGGTGAGGGGGGACATAAAGAAGGCCAGCAGGCTGGAGTGCAGTCAGCATGAAGAAGAGTGGTTTCAAGATGTAACGGGGCCGGGCATGGTGGCTCACGCTATAATCCTAGCACTCTGGGAGGCCGAGGTGGGAAGATTGTTTGAGCTCAGGAGTTCAAGACCAGCCTGAGCAAGAGCGAGACCCCATCTCTACTATAAATAGAAAGAAATTAGCCAAACAACTAAAAATAGAAAAAATTAGCCTGGCATGGTGGCACATGCCTGTAGTCCCGGCTACTCAGGAGGCTGAGGCAGAGGATTGCTTGAGCCCAGGAGTTTGAGTTTGCTGTGACCCAGGCTGATGCCACAGCACTCCGGCCTAGGCAACAGAGTGAGACTCTGTCTCAAAAAAAAAAAAAGATGCAACAGGGACATAGGCTGGCTTAAATCATACAGAGCCTTGCAGGGCCTGATAAAGAATCTAGACTTTAGTCTAAATGCAAAGGGGAACGCACTAGAGTGTTTCAAACAGAAAACTGATAGGATGCCATGTATGTTTTTAAGTTCTTTTTGTTGCTAAAGAACAGATTATCAAGGGAAAGTAGAAACAGAAACGAATTAGATGGTCATAGGAGTCCAGAGCAAAATCTATGATTACTGCAGTGGCAGTATAGACAGCAAGAATTGGAGAGATCTGGAGTACACTTTGGAAGCAGTTTTTAGGCCAGGCACCTGGAGGCATACCACCATCAGTTACTGGAACTGGAAGACCAGAAAAAGAAGAAACTTTGGGGGAGGGCAGTGTGATGCCAGTGGGGGTGATGTGACATGGAATTGAGAATTTTGATCCAGCCAAGTTACATTTGGGATGTCACTATCAAGACATTCACATGGATGCCAAAAGGCAACACTGAGCCAAAGCAAAGTCATCTTTGTTGCTTTATCAGCCCCTCTATGGGGAAAGACCATGCTGTACCAGTGGGGAAGATTTTACTAAGGACATAGGAAAGCTGCAAACATGTCCTTTTAAAACTCAAGCCAATTTCTCCCCTGGATGAGGTTGATTACACTGTCCATCTGTCTCAGAGACTAATCCCACAGGCAAGTACTGACTATTAGGATTTATGCCTTTAGTTAATCCTAAAGGCTGTGGACTCTTGACTGCAACAGATTCTTGCACACAACACAAACCCCAAAAATCACTGCCAGCTACTCAGAATCCTAGGAATACCAGTGTTTAAAGAGACTTTAGAGATCACCGGGTAGAAAACCCTCTTCTACTGAGCAGGAAACAGACACCTGACAGATTTCTCTCCAAGTACAAAGGATATTCTGTATTCTGTCAGTTCTTTCAGTTCTTCTTCTCTCCGTTGCTTTTCTATTAGTTCCTGCTGCCGAGACACCTCATCAAGGAAGTTGGTCTCATCTTCATCTAAGCCTCTTACCATGTTTTCTGAGGAAATAATTAAACAAGGAACACTTAGCAGGCTAAAGGGGAAAATACGATTTTTCCTTTTCCTTTTTTTAATAAACAGCAGATTCTTCAGGGAATTAGAAGAAAGAACTGGTAAACACCATGGCTTTTGGATAGATAGCATGACACAAAAATCAAGGCATTTTTCCCATTACTAGATATTAGCATAGAATTAAAATGGGTATCTTGAGCCTTAAACAAAAATATTCAATGTGGTCTAGAAGGCAGAAGGCTTCTGTTTTCTACCAAATGAGCATCTGGAGACTAGGTAATCAACACAATTCCATAGTTAGTTAGGAAAAGTGTTGCATGAGGCAAAAGTGCATCAGAAAGACCCTGCAGAGTCCTTGAACTGTATTTTCCCAAAGCTTACTGAATTTGAACTGCTCCTCATACTCCTGCTGCTTCCTGTCTTTCTGTTCCTGCAGCCTTTCATATAGAGACCGAGGGTCATAAACCTCCTCTGGACATTCTGAAAGGAAAAGGAGGGGTAAGAGAGGAGGAGGAGAGATACATACTTTAGAATTTTTTAAATATAATTTTGGAATCAAAAAGGGTTTTGAAGATAAAGTCAAGTCTCTGCATGATCTGAGGGTGAGGCTAACACAAAAATAGGACAAATACCACAGTTACCCTTTGGACCTCAGAGAGGGGCCAGTAGTTCTCAAAGCCAACTGTCAATGTCAAAGAGCCAATGGCCTGAGACAGTTGACCAATTGAGGGGTCAGCTCAAACCCTCCACAATAGCAATGTTCTTGGTTGTTCAGACCATGGATCCACCTATATAAATGGACTATATAGCAGAATCTCCTGGATGGAAGTGTGGTAGACAAGAAAGGGCGAGGATACGAGTATTCTGGCTCTGCTCCCAGCTACAGAGGGCCTTAAACAGGTTACTTCACCCCCCTGAGTCTCAGTTCCTCAACACCAAAGTGTAGACAACTGCTGGGCACGTAGTCCTAGCACTCTGGGAGGACAAGGCAGGAGGACTGCTTGAACTTAGGAGTTTGAGGTTGCTGTGAGCTAGGCTGACCCCATGGCATTCAAGCCCAGGCAACGGAGCGAGACACTGTCTCAAAAAAAAAAACCAAACTAATAATAATAATAATAATTATAATAATAATGATAAAATAATAAAGTACTGACCAATTAATATCTACTTTGCAGGGTTGTGTTAAGGATTAAAGACACTTATGGTGAATGCCAAACTATAAGCCTATATACCTTGTGGATCTTCAGGTTTTCGAACTTTCTCCCATTCTTCTTGCCTCCTTTTGCGCCGTTCATCTAGTTCTGCCTCAGATACAAACCTCTTTTTGATAACAAGGTTACCATCATCCCCTCCATCCATAATGGAACAATCTACAAAATAAAAAACAAAAAATCATTTCAAGTCAGAACTTCAATTAAGATTCTAAACAGAAACAAGGAGAGTTTCTCTGTTTCACCCAGCAACAGGGTAAAAATTCTCTTCTAACTTTGAACTGAAAAAACCCCTCAAATAGTTAAATATATAGGTCATTGATAAAACATACAATTACATTTTCCCTAATATTTCAGCAGTTTTTATTGGCATCAATGGTATCTACAAAGTTAGCAAGAGGACCTGGAATAATCTCATCACCTGGAGTTCCACAGTCAATCTCACATTGCAGATATTTCTCCGTCCCTCTAATCCAGACAAACTGGCCTCCTGGGCACCCCATCCTTTTCCCAGTTCTCATCCTTCTTTATTTCTGTCTGACATTGTTCCTTCTTGAAATTCCTGTTTCTAGGGCATTACGCTATCTTGATTCACCTGCTCTTGCTTCCAGGTAGATTCAGATGGAGAGTCTCAGGTATTAAGGGAGCCTTAGTGATCGAGTCCAGTCTGTACAGCAGAGAAGGTACACAAACCATGAATGCAGAATGTGCGACTAGAAGAACTTGGATCTCCCAACTTCAAGTTCAACGTACTTTCCAGGATACTAAGCTAACTCCTCCTTTATATTCTTCCAGACCTCCCTCCCTATAAACTCCTTGTCTGTGCCACTTAAGATTCTATCTTTAATCATTTTCTCACTCCCACAATAACGTCAACCACTTTATGCGTATTTTGATGCAGAATATTCCCAAATCTATTATTTCTACCTGCACCTTTCCTCAGAGGAGAGGGGAGAAGGAAATAAAGATAGAGAGTATCATTTCTTTTAAACTACACCTCTTTCTGCTTTTCATTGAGGTTTCTTTCCTTTTGAAGAACTGTGGAATTAACCCACTACTCAGACACGTTATGTGTTATTCACAGCAATACGCCCCAACAAGGAGGCACATATTCAACCTAATGTCCATTCCAAAATGATCTCTATAAAGAGAAATAAGTTTCTACTGCTACCACAAAAATAAAGCAGCTAACATTTACGAGGTATTACCACGTACTAGTTTTTGGGTATATTATGTCATTTATATGCACATTGACCCTATGAGAAATATTCTCTCTTTACAGATGAAGTTGAGGTCCAGAGAATTTAAGTCACTTGTCCCAGGTGATACAAGTCGTGAATGGTATAGATGAGACTCAAACTCAAGCCTGACATCAAAAATTCATACTTTTACCAACTTCACCATACTCCTCCCCAGAACCCACTAAATCTTGGTTGAAAACAAGGACATGTCAATTTGAGCTTTCTTCCTAATTCTACTTCCAGTGCTGAGAGAATGTTCATGCAATATTTTTATTTAGTAAAGATGGAAATAGAAGCTGAGATAACCAAAACATTCAGAACAAAAGAATAGTCTCAGCCCAAATACTACTGTTGCTGAGGTTTAGTTCAAAGTAATGAGAGAATTTTGAAAATTACTAGAAAGAAAACTAAATCAACTGACAAAAGCTGTTGCTCCCACCTAAAGCCCACAACCTGGACACTTCTGATTTAGCATCACTCATGTCTCCAGCCACAGGCTTATTACAGAAGCAGAATTATTCAGTCTCTGTGATCATGCCAAAAATTCCTCAAGTTCTGCAGAACAACCTCTCATGAAACAAGAGCCAACAATTTCTTAAATGTCTCTGGCATTTAAGAGAAAATGTGAACTTTGTAGGACTCTAATGGATGGGAGAAACATAACAAAGGCTCACTTTCCCCCTCTCTTGTCCTCTAATAGCTATTTGCTCTCCGTTCTCACCCTGTATTAGCTGTTTGGTTTCTTCCCCTCACCCTACACTACCTGGTAAATAATTCAGAGTGGGACAGGTCCTTTTAGCCCACCTAATATGATACCCTACCTGACATCCGAATCTACCATACACACCCAGGAAACTGTCAAACAACTCATATATTAAAACTTCAAGATGGACCACTGCACTCCCTTTAACAGCAGGCAACACCCTCTCTGAGCAGATGTGTTTGGATAGTTCCTCTTTAAACTGAAGTGAAATCTGTCTTCCTATAAATTCCACACATAAATTTAATCCACTGGGACTACACAAAAGGAACCAAATCTTTTCTATCAAGACAATGCTTCAGTTGTTTGAAGACAACTCCCATGTTCCTAATTTGTTGCTTTTCTAAGAGATATTCTAGTTGCCTTAATCACAAGATAGAGAAAAATAATAATGTCTCAAAGCTGTGAATTTATCAGATTATATGATTTAAAACCTGGGAAACAAATACTAGAATATAACAATGTTACTGGCATTCCATTAAATGCATCTCTTCATTCTTGTTATACATTTTTGAAAATGAAAATAAAAGGGCCAGGCACAGTGGCTCACACCTGTAATCCCAGCACTTTGGGAGGCTGAAGCAGGAGGACTGAGGGCAGGAGTTCGAGACCAGCCTGAGCAAGAGACCCTGTCTCTACAAAAAATAGAAAAATTAGCCGGGCATGACAACACATGCCTGTTATTCCCAGCTACTCAAGAGTCTGAGGCAGGAGGATTACTTGAGCTCAGGAGTTTGAGGTTGCTGTGAGCTATAATGACGCCACTACACTCTAGCCTACGGTGACAAAGCGAGACCCTGTCTCAAAAAAAAAAAAACAAAAACAAAAAAAAACAAAGAAAATATCTATTATAATAATAATAATTTAAAAAACCTCCCAATATGCCAAAATGAAACCTTTTATATTTCCACCTAAATAAGAACTCAGAAACTCTAATATTTATTCTTATACATGAAAATTAAGAAAGTAAAATCATTTATTTAATTTTCATAGCTTGTTAAGTTTTTGGGAAAAAGAATCTACCTTCATTTAACTTTAACAAAGATACCTGAAATTCAAGGGTCTCCCTTTTACATATTTTCTAGGTATGTATAAACAAGAGATTGCATTTAAAATAGAAATTTTAGAGAACTAAGAACCTTCCTAGCATTTATAAATCACTTTTGGGAAAAGACAAATTTATGGGATTTTACTCTCTTTTTCATCAATCTTTTCTATTAAGTTTAGAATTCAACTTGTACATAAATGGGCTTAGTCTGTGCTATTTATTACCATCTTTCACACACAGGGACAAAACCAAGAATCACAGTTGGTTAATGAAAATAACAAATAAGGCAAAAGTACATAAAAAAAATTAAAGACAAGGGCTTTAGAATTTGACAGAGAAACTATTTATCAGCTTTCAGTGGGTTGGTTTCCTGAAAACAGCTATATGGTCAAAACTAATGAACTTAGAAAACACTAGTATCAAAATTCTGATTCCCTTGATCCCAAAATAAATAAAATAAGCCAAATTAGATGACCACACATCTAATTTTTTTGAGTTTAAAAGGGACTAGCTAACACAAAGACTGCCTTATCCACCTCTTTTTTCAATTTGCATTTTCTTCTGTAGATCCTCATTCCCTGTCACTTCAACCGCTATTGTTCTCTCTTTCCCTCCAATGCTGCCAGGGTCACCCTGGCTAATTAATTTGGTCATCTTTCTACATTAGGAAAGGTCAAAGATAGAGACAGAAAGTGTTGGTGAACATACCCCTTTGAGTATTCTAGATAACATTCAGACTATTTCTTTTCCAGACACATTCAGGTCTTTTCAGTAGTACAGGTAAAGATAAACACTATTGACTGAAATCAAGAGACCTTGATTCAAAACCTGGTTTCACCACTTACCAGTTATATGACATTGGGCAAGTCACTTAACTTCTCTGGGCCTTGGTTTCCTCAGCCACAGATTACACTTACTTACTAATGGGATTCAAATAGTACTGCAAGTACTGCACAACATAAAGCTTTTGTGAGGATAAACAAGATAACTCAGGCAAAGCACTTTAGCACAGTGTTTGGCACACGATTAAAAATGCTTTGAAAGGTTTGCTGTTACTACAAGGAGCTATGCTAAGCTCTGGACAGGCTATAGGAGTGAGAGAAATACTATCTATACTCAAGGAGTGGGGAGGGGGAATAAATCAGTGACATAAATAACCAACCAAAATATTTTTAAGTACAAACTGTGAGAAATTAGGAAACACACACGTTTCACTTTAACAAAGATTCCCAAAATTTGTATTAATACATATACATTTCCCTTTTGTGTGGGTCTCTATTTTACTGTTTTACTTTATAAGTAGTTCTGTTAGGGTGGGAACCCGTGGCATCCTTCTAGTTTAAATAAACTCAGAACTGTGCTGAACTCCATGTGTCCAACACTGTGCTAGAGTCTATGAGGTGTATAAAAGAAACAAACTTTAAGACTTAGTACTCTTGCACTAGTTATACCAGATAATAGTGTATATAATAAATTACCAAAGTGAATAAAATAGGTAGACGGCAGTACTAAAGGGGACAAATATGGATCAATCCAGTTTCCCAGGCTGGAAACCTGGACATGTACCTAGAATCCTTTTTCCTCTTCATTTACTTACACCCCACCAAGTTCTGTTGTTTCTTGCTCACAGTAACCTCTTTTTAATCTATTTTCTTTTCTTCTTCTTCTGTTTTTGTTTGTTTGTTTGTTTGTTTTTAGGAAAAGCATCCCATTCTTTCTAATCCCTTTTCAGGGCTTCATCTTGCATGGACTACAGCAATAGCATTCCATTAGCCTCCCTGTTTCTATTCTAGCCCCTTTCAATCCATCCCCCCCAGCATCAGCTGAATGATCTTTCTAAAAGGCAACTTTAATATCTACTGCCTCACTTAAAATGATCCAAAGACTCCCTAGTATCTCTAGGACAGGTTTCCCAACCTCAGCACTACTGACATTCTCTGCCAGATAATTTTATGTTATAGTCTGTCCTGTGCATTGTAAGTGGCCTCTATCCACTAGATGCAATGCCAGTAGCATCCATTCAGCCACACCAGCTGTAAATAAATAAATAAATAGTCTGGAGACACTGCCAAAAGTCCCCCAAGGAACAAAACCTGCCTAGAGGAATGTT